CATTAATTCGACTTATATAATACTTAACAACTAAGTTGATTTAAAGAATAATTAGATTAGCTTAATTATAATATTCGTTCCGACAATTCAGATTTCTAGCATTTGAACATGTGTTTCGTATTTATGTCTAAGGCTTTTTTCCGGATCCCTAATAATAAAGGGATACATTAAATATTGACTGTCCATCCGTCACATATAAAGACGCAACACTTTAAGGTTAGTCTTCACATCGAGTAAATATTTCAACTTTAATTAAATATTTTCAAAATATATGCAAAATATGCAAATCCAAACAACATCAACAGTGGGGTTGCGCCCACTTATTTGATTCCTATGGCGAAAGCTGTTGAGAGAGCTGTTAATGTTACGTCACTAGCAGCTAACGTAAACCAATGGCCACAAGTGACCCTAAACCTTTTTAGGGATGACTGTCTAGGGTGACAGAACAAATTATCTCAGACAAAATATATCACGAACATAGAAGAATAGCTAAAACAACCAAGTGTAACTAAGACATGCTAAATTAGCACCATAAAAAGCTTTACATTTTGTTACTTAATACTTAAAACTAAACTTTATTTTTTTCAAAACAATATATTTCACGTGTTCACTAAGAGGCCGTACGTGTTCTTTAAAAATTAAACGTAGTAGTTTTATTACATAATACGTCTAGTCAATACCGATGCAAATTAATTTTGATGTTGATTATAAAATGTAATATTTATTTCTGGATCCCTAAAAGAAATGGACTTTTTTTGGAAAATCAAAAACGGGTAACCGCTAAATATATAGCTTTACGAATTATTGTTTAAGTATTTAAAAATCAAATTTTGAAAGACTATTTTTACTGTTACTTATAACTTAAAGCCTATATAATATTTTATAGTAATACTTTAAAAGTGATAATATAGTTTCCTAAAAACTAAGAGTGTCTAAAGCCTAATTAAATTTTTTAGCTAGAATACACATACCTTTCTTTGTTGTATGTTTCATCCTCAAAACTCGACTACTTGATCTACTCAACTCAAGATTACTGAAATGATTATACTCTATACTACATTAACAACACATATAAAACTTCGATACCTAACACCTGCATAGAGTCGATGCTCCAGAACTACGACAATACCTTTCCTACCTTCACCATACTCTACAAACGATACTCCCAATCAACAACGATTTAACTGGACCAACTGCTACACTATAACAGCCAACACACTTCGATATCTTAATACCACATGACATTTTAATAATACTTAGTGTTAGGCTTCTAATATCGTCATATTCGCAAACTAATCATCTCATTAATCTAAATGATTTTTCATATTTTAACCTCTCCTAAAGGAATCCATACCAATCGTAAACTTTTATTTTTCATAAACGTTGACGTCGTATAATTGTGTAATTATAACTAATGGCAGTCAAGCTTAAAACAGGTAGAATTAGTTATGTAACTCATCTTTGGAGGTCTGCAGAAGCCCAACACTTAGAGGCGTAGCGAGGGGGAGATGGACAGGGGGTAGCGGACCGCACCGAGTGAAAATTTGTTTTTTAGGGGGGGGGGTGAAACAAAGGTAAAAAGTACCAACATTTAAATAATGAAATCTAAATAAAAGATTAATTAGAGTTAAATAGACTTTAAAGACCAAAGTTGATAAATCCCGACAAGGATGGGGCTAGGGATGTGGGTAACATCATGACCGAGACCTGCTAACTATAGAGATAACAATGCTACATCCAAATGTTTTTATAACCGGCTACAGATAAACATTGTTAGTATTATCTGACAAGAATGGGGCTAGGGATGGGGGTGACATCATGACCGAGACCTGCTAACTATAGAGATAACAATGCTACATCCAAATGTTTTTATAACCGGCTACAGATACACATAGTTAGAGTTATTTGACAAGGATGGGGCTAGGGATGGCGGTGACATCATGACCGAGACCTGCGAACTATAGAGATAACAATGCTACATCCAAATGTTTTTATAATCGACTACAGATAAATATTGTTAGTATTATCTGAACTTAGTTTAAAGTATCCACCGGCCGGGGTGGGGGGGGGGGGTAGGTTACATCAACATTTGCCTGAGATAAAAGGTTTGATTGAGAATAGTAATAAAGTTTTTTTTTATATTTGAATCTTAATTATTTATCCACTTATCAAGTATAACGCATAACGCGTGAATAAGTACAATCTGTATCAGATGATAAACCCGCTGTTTCTTCATCTGATTCTTAATTATCATTCATCCACTTATCAAGCAAAACGTGTGCTATTTCAGCACAAATCGCTTGAGTGAGTTTTGGCCTGATGGACTTGATCCATAATGAATTTTTAAAATGTAAACAAGAACTCAAATGTTAAGAATGACATGAGGTTGTCGTTAACAAAAACTCAAACACGAATTTTGAGGTTAGTTAATAGCATGCTATTTCACAAATCGCATTAAAACAATTAATACAAAAATTTTAATTTTATTTATACAAGAAAATCGTAAGTTGATGTTTATTGATTTCCTCACTAATTTCGACTTTTTTAATTCTACAGGGGTCGCGGGTAACTAACTTTTTATAGAAGGAGGTCGCCACTAGAAAAAGTGTGGGAACCTATGCCTTAGAGCCTGCTCAGTCATATATATAAGTCGCTTTTGATCCTTATATTAAAGACTTGTAATTAAAGCTGTTAAGCTATTGCTGCTCTTTCACAATAGCAAAAAGCTGATCTAGGCCTATCTCCAGTTTTAAAGTTTAATATGTAAGCGATTTATCTAATATTCTAAGATGAAGGAATTTGAAAAGAACGTAGAATTTAATTGAATTATCACCCGTTTGGTTAAATATTAAAATAGAAAGTAATTCAAGGGAAATAACTATTTTAAAAAAGGCTAACTTAAAATATCATAGGTAATACGGGCAAATTAACAAAATACACGGTTTTCTATTAATTTGCAGTATAGCAATAATTAACTGCTAATACCAGTTACGTAAATGTTAAAACATAAACTTGTTAACTGTTTAAAATTTTATTTTACTTAAAAAATTGAAGACATTAGCTTCATTAAAACATTATTTTATTCAAGTGAGAAATATTTCAAGCCACTTCTTCCTTGTTGTTCTGTGACATAGAATCTATATCTGAATCCTTAATGATGAGACATCCTTTTTAAATATAGTGTGACCGTGTTAACCCAGGGGTTGGAAACCTACACCTTGCGAGTCGCATGCGGGTCCTTTGATGTCTACAAGTGGCTCTTCAGTTCCTTGTACAAATATTAATAGTTATATTATTTCATTTTAGAGTTTAATATGTAAGTAAGCGATTTATCAAATATTTTAAGATGAAGGAATTTTATAAGAATTTAGAATGTAATTGAATTATCACCCGTTTTGTAAACTATTAATAAAAGAGAAAGTTTTTCAAGGGAGACAACTATTAGAAAAAGGCTAAATTAAACTAGCATAGCTAATATGGGCAAATTAACAAAGCACACGATTTTCAATTGATTTACAGTATAGCAATAATTCACTGCTAATATTATATATGTAAATGTTAAAACATAACTTGTTAACTACTCAAAACTATATTTTACTTAAAAAATTGAATACATTAACGTCATTTAAACATTATTTCATTCAAGTGAGAAATATTTCAATTACGCTCTGATTCCTAATCTTTCCTTATAATCTTATAATTATTAACAATGTGTGTTGATTGAAAGTATAAATACATTAGATTCATTTAAAGACTCATTCAGTCAATTGAGACATATTTTATTCCATATTAATCCGCATCTTTTTTTCCAAACGGTATATCTGGATCTCTGTTATTATGGGACAACTTTTCAAAAACAATGTCCGTGTTACAGGACCGTAGTAAATTTTCCAGCCACCCTCTATAACAGGGGTCGGCAACCTTTTGTGATGGAAGAGCCAAAAGTTACAATTCACAAAATTAACCAGTTTTTAAAGAGCCACTAACATTTTAATGATAATCGTTTAGGATTATATATATATATATATATATATATATATATATATATATATATATATATATATATATATTGGTTTGGTTTCTTTGTGATATGAAGTTGAATGTTTCAATTTGGGATGGGCGATTAATAGGCGATAGGGAGTAACTATATATTTGAATAGAATAGTGAATGTGTATTGTTTATATATATTTGTATATTGTTTATTACCGAGTGTTGCAGAAAAATATTTGTATGAGTTTTAAAAATAAAATTGATATTTTTTTTGCTTGGAGCCGAAGAGCCGCATCTTGACATCCAAAGAGCCGCATGCGGCTCGCGAGCCGCAGGTTGACGACCCCTGGCCTATACCTTGTGACCAACTTAATGTGTAAAATATGTACAGTAAAATATATACAATGGCAAGTACAATATAGCCAGTACCATACGGCCGTTATACAGTTGTCAATACAATATAGCCAGTACCATACGACCGTTATACAGTTGTCAATACAATATGGCCAGTACAATACGGCCGATATCAAATAGCCTATACAATAAGGCCCGTACTATGTAGCCGTTATACAGTTGTTAATACATTATGGAGAGATCAATAGGGCGGTTATACATCGAATAACACCAGTGCATCTTCAAGACTTTTCTCAGGGGGGGGGGGGCGCTCTTGAAATTTTCGGGGGGGGGGGGATTGAAAGTTTCCGGGGAAGAGGGGCGGACACCGGTAAAAGTACATATTTTCTATATACATTTTATTCCGATGTGGCCAGATCAATTGGGTCGTTATACATTAGCTAATAAAATATAGCCAGAACACATCAGACAATGTAATGTGGCCAAATCGACGTGGCCGTTAGTTAAGGGCCAAGCTAATTGAAAATGGCCCACAACGATGCGGCCAATAAAATTTAGCTTGTATAAAACAGCCAGTAGGCGTACACAGTATAATTCTAAAATTTCTATTTAATCAATTTTAATTAAATTGCTGATTACTCGCCCCACGGCGTTAACCACACCGCCATGTGAGAAGAAACCAGACAAGACACGACAACACTTTACTAGAACAATCAACAGGTCCAACAAGATGAAAACTGTTGTTGTGGTCATCACAGTTTTGTTCATTATGGTCTTTCTTCTGTTTGAAAGAGGTAAGTGTTAGTAATTTTACAAGGGGCGTTCAGTATGTGTCGTTGGACAATTCATTGCAGGAAAAGCTTTGTTATTTCAACAGTATGCAATATATAATTAACCGTGGCGTAGCGAGGGGGGGGGGGGAGTGCGGGGTGACACCATTTAGGGAGGTGACACCAAGGCAAAAAAAGCAAAATATATAAAGAAAAATGATAATTCCGATTAATTATGAGATTAATTAGAGTGTTAAATAGTCTTTTAAGAGCCAATTTGACAAATCCCGACAAGGGAGGAGGAGAGGAGGGGGGAGGTGACACCAAGACATGAACCTGCTCATGATAGAGAAAACATGCTACATCAAGCTGTTTTATAACTGAATATATATATATATATATATATATATATATATATATATATATATATATATATATATATATATATATATATATATATATATATATATATAAATCGTTAGTATTATATCTGAGCACAGTTTAAAGCACTCGCCGTGGTGGTGGGGGTAAGGAGGGGGGGGAGGTTACATTAACTCAACGTTGCAAAATATGCCTGAGGTAAACGGTTTGGTTGAGAATCGTTAATCCATGTATGTGGGGGGGGGGGAGAGGTAAATAAAATACATTAAAAATATGTCAACACATATACACATGCGTATATAAATACATAATTACTTTATATATACATATATATATATATATATATATATATATATATATATATATATATATATATATATATATATATATATATATATATATATATATATATATATATATATATATATATATATATATATATATAACATTTTAAAAGTAATCTAAATAAAACAACAAAAACAAATGATAAAAAACTAACAGTTTCAGATTTAAAAAAAAATACATCTATTAAAAATATGAATGAGAGTGGTGTTATATTTCTAAACCACTGCCCCCCCCCCCCCCCCCCCCCCCATCCGCAGTCTCATAAAGTTAAATGACGTAATTTATAGATTAGCCACTGGAACACCAATGACTTGCTTAATATAATTATGGACTGTAGGAGAATATAAGGTAATGATAGAAAAAGTATGATTTGTATTATGTTTATTTTTCTTCACAACAGGAGACTCAATTGTTTCATGGTGTAAATACGGATGGGAAGACTGTCGGTAAGTAAATAATTTTTTTTTTCTGTAGACTACGTGACTGCATTCATTGTAAAATTTGTCATTGAAGCTTTCAAGTGCCACCATATTTTTTTTAAACGTATTTACTAATCTCAATTTCGAGATAAACCATATTTTACAACACTTTTCAGACCTCAGGACTGCGACCCGGTGTTTCGCCCATGGAGTTGTGGTATAGTCTCTAAGTGATGATTTAATCTGACACATCAACTCTGCCCTATCCTACCATTCAATGATGTCAATTCTGGAGGATGGAATATTTTTGGAATGATGCTTTAACGTAAATAACACTTATTCTAGGTTTATATGGTTAACTTGGTAATAAAGCATTTTTTTCAAAATTCAAAATCAATTACATTGTTATTTTTTATTTATTTTTTATTTCGATAAATTAAAAATGATGCGTTGAAACTTACTTTTTAACATAATAGCAGTATGTTCTTACTTGATAAATAGGTAACTATGTTCGATTAGGTAAAACCCGATCGATAAGTTCAGTTACTCTAACATCGATCGATGGAAGGTGGACTGTTCAATATCGCCAGTATAGTGTTGCTATAAGGCCTTAATATAGAGGTCGTTTTGGTGAGAACAACGTAGCAATATGGCCATTTTAATTTGGTCATATGGTCAGTTCATTATGATCATTTGGCACGTATAAAGTGAGTGAAAGGTCACGTAAGCTTTAACCCTAACCCTAACACTAATCACCACGTGTGTAATGTGGTCATGTGACAAGTATAGCATTCTCGTGTCACTCGTAAAAAAATTGTAGTGTGGTCAGTTTCACGTTGTCGTATGGCCAGTATAACGTGGTCATGTGGCCAGTATAACGTGGTCGTATGGCCAGTATACCGTGGTCGTGTGGCCAGTATACCGTGGTCGTGTGGCCAGTATACCGTGGTCGTGTGGCCAGTATACCGTGGTCGTGTGGTCAGTATAACGTGGTCGTGTGGCCACTATATCGTGGTCGTGTGGCCAGTATACCGTGGTCGTGTGGCCAGTATACCGTGGTCGTGTGGTCAGTATACCGTGGTCGTGTGGCCAGTATAACGTGGTCGTGTGGTCAGTATACCGTGGTCGTGTGGCCACTATATCGTGGTCGTGTGGCCAGTATACCGTGGTCGTGTGGCCAGTATAACGTGGTCGTGTGGCCAGTATAACGTGGTCGTGTGGCCAGTATAACGTGGTCGTGTGGCTAGTATACCGTGGTCGTGTGGTCAGTATACCGTGGTCGTGTGGCCAGTATACCGTGGTCGTGTGGCCAGTATAACGTGGTCGTGTGGCCAGTATACCGTGGTTGTGTGGCCAGTATACCGTGGTCGTGTGGTCAGTATACCGTGGTCGTGTGGCCAGTATAACGTGGTCGTGTGGTCAGAAAATCTTGTCACGTGACCAATATAAAGAGGTCGTGTGGTAGTTTAATGTGGTATTTTGGTCATCTTCATGTGGTCGACATGTTAGTATAACGTTTTTGTGTGGCAAGTATAACTTGGTTGGTATATTACAGTCACATGTGACGACGTGGCCTAGCGGTAGAGCGATAGACTTCTTACCTGAAAGTCTCGCGTTCGAATCCGGGTTCAAGTCAGTCGAACGTCCCTGAGTCCAACCAGGTATAATGGGTACCTAACTCACGTAAAGAATAAAGGCGGCGAGATAACAGCAACAGGTAAACTCTATTTCACTTGCCCCATGGGCCGTCAGGTTCGAAAAGGGAACTTTACATTTACTTACTTTTATTAAGGTCACGGTACCAGTATAAAGTTAACTCGAATCATGGCTAATATGATTTGTGACTTGTATAATGCTGCTAGACTGCTAACCCGAAAGTCTCGAGTTCAAATCTGGTTTCAAATCAGTATAAATTTACTGAGTCCACCCAGCTCTGATGACTACCTAACTCGTGTTAGAGAAAACAAGGCGGCTGGGAATATTTCTAACCATATTATCCCCTTATTGAAACATGAACTTTTCTTCATCTGCCGAATGTGTTGTGGGCACAAGAGGGAATAGACGATGTTGATATTGTTATTGTAAAGTCAAATTATGTGGCCATATATAATGAACCATGCGCTCTACTTTCATTTTGGCCGATACAAATTTATGTTCTCAAGTGGCGGCGTGGTCGAACGGTAGAGCGCTCGGCTACAAGCCAGCAAGCCTCGAGTTTGAATTTCAGTCTGGATTTGGAACTGCAAAATGTCCCTGAGTCCTCCCAGCTATGATGGGTAACCGACTCACTTTGGGGAAAGTAATGGAGGCTGGGCATAGTGCAGACAACTATTCATATACCGAGGTCAAAAAACAACTCTACCTCATCTGCACTATGAATCGTTAGGGAAGCTCTACATTTTTAACACTAGGTTTTCACGTTGGTTGTATAATAAAGTGTTGTGTTGCCAAAGATCTGTATGATAAAGTATTCAACATAATGTAGCAAATATAGCCTGGCCATTAGAATTGTGTTATGTGGCGAGTACAAAATAATGTATACACGGTGCTATTACAGCGGTCACTACACAATGTAGTGTTACAATCTAGCTGAGGCTAGTACAAAATAATCGACATCATTCTAGGTACAAAATAGTAAATAGTTTGGACGGTAGGTACAAAACAGCAAATACTTTGAACGGTTTGTACAAAATAGCAAATACTTAAGACGGTAGGTACAAAATAGTAAATACTTTGGACGGTAGGTACAAAATAGCAAATACTTTTGACGGTAGGTACAAAATACTTATTACTTTGGATAGTAGGTACAAAATAGCAAATACTTTGGACGGTAGGTACAAAATAGCAAATACTTTTGACGGTGGGTACAAAATACTTAGTACTTTGGATAGTAGGTATAAAATAGTAAATACTTTGGATAGTAGGTACAAAATAGTAAATACTTTGGACAGTTGGTACAAAAAAGCAAGTACTTTGGATGGTAGGTAAAAAATAGGAAGTACTTTTGTCCACAACAATGTGCACACTATAACGTTGTCACTGTCAAACTTTGGGCTTTATAGAGTGGTCAGTAAAATGGGGATAGTAAAATCTGCAACAGTAGTTAAAACAACTTCCCAGTGCATACAAAATGTAGCTAGTAGAGTTGTCAATAGAACATAAAAAATGTAGCCAAGAGAGTTGCTAATAGAATGTAAACAAAATGTAGCTAGGATAGTTGCCAATAGAATGTAAACAAACTGTAGCTAGCAGAGTTGCCAATAGAATGTAAACAAAATGTAGCTAGTAGAGTTGTCAATAGAATGTAAACAAAATGTAGCTGGTAGAGTTGCCAATAGAATGTAAACAAAATGTAGCTAGTAGAGTTGTCAATAGAATGTAAACAAAATGTAGCTGGTAGAGTTGCCAATAGAATGTAAACAAAATGTAGCTAGTAGAGTTGCCAATAGAATGTAAACAAAATGTGGATGGGAGAGTTGTCAATAGAATGTAAATAAAATGTAGCTGGAATAGTTGCCAATAGAATGTAAACAAAATGTAGCTAGGAGAGTTGTCAATAGAATGTAAATAAAATGTAGCTGGAATAGTTGCCAATAGAATGTAAACAAAATGTAGCTAGGAGAGTTGCCAATAGAATGCAGTTATTAAATTCTAACAAGTAAAATGTACCCATGTGGCTAGTACAGTGTTGGCCAAATAAAGTGGCCGTTAACATGTGGCCAGTGCAGTGTTGGCCAAATAAAGTGGCCGTTAACATGTGGCCAGTACAGTGTTGGCCAAATAAAGTGGCCGTTAACATGTTGCCCTGTATCCATAACATTGTGGCCAGTTCAATATAGCCAGGGCAAAGTCTAATCGCTTAGTAATTACCACATTTTTAATTAACTTAAATATTGATTAACACTGGGGTCTTTCATTGCTTATTCAAATACACAAATATAGTCTCGCAAGCCTTCACAGAACCCCTGCACACTGTTGAAGTCCTAGAAGATGAAAACTGCTGTTGTAGTTATCGTGTTGTTCATCATTGCAGTATGTCTAATTGAACCTGAACAAGGTGGGTGGTTGTAAATTCACAATCGGCAACAAGCATTTGTGGTTAGGAAATGTATTGTTATGAAAACTTTCGTCATTATGTTATCATGCTTAATGCATCAATAAAAAATAAGTTGATACATTTTAATAATAAAGTTTGCTTTTATAATTTCTAAGAGTGTGACGATACACTTTCTCAGACACCTTACCCACCACATTCCTAAAAAAGAAATATAACTTTATTCATTGATAAATGCTACAATATAATAATAATAATAATAATAGACAATTTGAAAATTAATAAAACACTTATAAAAAACGTATCACAAATGTCGCTTTGGATTATCTTTAATTTTCTCGACAACAGGTATACTTTGGCCAAGGTGCGATGGCTGGTGGAACAATTGTCGGTAAGTTAATCATTTTTTTATTGCATAACACGTATGGGGTCATCCATTTATGTCGTCCACAAAAATGTGGATATTTTAGACCGCCTCCCGATCCACATCCCCACCCACCCCCCCCCCCCCCCCCTACTTGTCCTATTTCGATGACCCACCCTCTAATGCGGATATCCGCACAAATTTAGTAGACCTCTCAAAATATGCTGCAAAATTACTAATACATAATAAATAATGTTAGATAGGGTTTCATCCAACATAATTATAAAATACTAATATATTTCATGTGTACCTTGCTACATTATTAATTGCTAATGTAATATAGGATTTGAGATTTTCGTTAGCATCCTATTATAAGCCTAAATAATAATATTAAAAGTTGAGCCTATGAAGTTTTTGGGGAAAAAAGTAACCATGTCAGTATAAATTAGGCCTTAGTGATACGCGCTTGCTTCATTTAAAAGTTTCTGTCAAAGCCAAACAACAACTGAAAACTATTAAACATTTGATTTTGTATTTAAGTGTACGATTTCCTGCCTTAAAATATTAACAGTCATAAAGTAGTAGCCTTCTCAGGCAGTGGCGTAGCGAGGTCGGGTGTCACCCGGTGCGGCACTTAATGGTGTCACCCCCAAGAGGCGTAGCGACCCTTCCCGGCGCCCGGGGACAAACTTTCAATTTTCGATTCGCACCCAACCCCTCAAACTTTAGATTTGCATCCCCCCACCCCTCCACCCTTGTCGGGATTTGTCAAATTTGCTCTTAAATGACTTTTTAACACTCGAATTAATCACTTAATTAAGTGGAATTGTCATTTTTCTCAATATATTTTGCTATTAGTTGTCTTGGTGTCACCCCCTAAATGGTGTCACCCGGTGCGGTCCGTACCCTCCGCCCCCCCCCCCCCCCCCGCCCCCCCCCCCCTCGCTACACAACTGTTCTCAGGTGATTGAACTTTATCTTTGTTTACTTATTTTTTCTCGTTTTAGACAACATAATTAATCACAAACAAGGTTGAAACACAAACGCTACTGTATTTAAACGTGATAACTATCATCTAATTTTTGCCAAAAAGTGATTGTTATATAATTTTCAGACTTCCTTTACGCCCGTAGCAGTCCAGCTCTTGGTAATGTATTGTTTATGCAAATAAAACCGCCTTGTGATTTACTTTCCCCAGACCTTTGCGAAGATTGCCGTCGGCCGCTCATTCCTTGCCCATGCCTTGATGATTCTCAAGTGATGCACATCAAGTCTGTTCGATAATTATATTAAAGACTTTCAAGCCTGGCTATTCTAATTCAGCTTTAATCCACTAAACACAAATTGATGTAGGTCTATATGATGTACTCTGCAATTAAAAAAAACGAATCAATTTCCAGAGTTTGTTGTAATTTGAGCTAACTAAAAAAAAATGTTTGAATTACCTGACAGCTGGGGCACGATAGTTGCGGACAGCAACCCATCTAGGAGAGAAAACTTAAGCAGCAAACATGAGTGAGGTCCCTTAGGTAATAGGAAAACATTTCGGTAACTACTCCTGCGATACAGCAGATGTCAAGTTGATTAGGTAACACTTCTTCTTTGGGTTAATCAGAGAGAGAGAGGGGGCCTGATACACGGGCAACATTTGGCTCTTCTCAACTTACTGTCCAGGCCTTGCGACTTGATTTTATTGGCGCAATCATCCAATCCTCTATTAACTATGTTTGTAGTGAAAAGTACAATGTGTTATTGTTTGGCAGAGGGAAGGATAGGTCTAGCGGTAGAGAGTTACACTAACCCGTAAGTCTCGAATTCGATTCATGGTTTAAGTCAGTAGACCATCCCTAAGTCAACCCAGCTCTGGTGGGTACCTAAGTCACGTTAGGAAAACCAAGGCGATTCAGCATAACGCTGACCACACTATCCCTTGATATGCCGATGTCACAGAAACAAGTGAACTCTACTTCACTTGCCACATAGACCGTCAGGTTTGGAAGGGGAAAATTATTTTATTGTATGGCTGGTACATTTTAGACAGCAAAATGTGATCAACACAAAGTTGTCTTTATAAAGTTGACAGTCTAGACTAGAGTGACAATTGTAATTTATTATTGTTTGGCTGGTACAATGTGGACTGTACAATGTGATCAACACAACGTTTTCTGTATACATTGGACAGTCTGGAGTGAACATCGAAGGTGTAATGTTGTCTATACAATGTGGCCTTTACTTAATATCTAAGGATGTATGTAAATTATAATGAAGTTAATAGTGACTCTATGATGTCTAGTACAAACTACTCGCATGTTATATTGGGAGTTGGCGTGGCCGGGCTCTTAAACCTCACGGTTGCTAAACCAAATGTCGGAGTTCGAATCTCCGGGCTGACGTGGCTGGATAGTTGAGGACATTAACCCATGTAGGGGAGAAAACTCCAAAATCAAACAGCTGCTGCCTTGTTGTTTGTTGTGGAAGGACAAAGTACAATAGTACAATCCTAATAGAAAAGCAGGCTAATATCACATGACAAGTTGACAGGCAATATTTAATTATGTTGGTGGAAATTCCATCGAACATTATAATTAAGAATATAGAAGAAGTATGTTCTATCTATTGCAAAAATTAGGAAAGTAAAGAGCACAAAAACATCCCACATAGTTTGCAATTTCAGAGAGTCTGTGTGTTCTCTTTGTTATCCTTGGGTGATTCTCTCAACTGTCATATTAAGTTTTAACCTTATGAATTTTATTGTGTGAACGTTAAAAAAGAAATCACATTTTAGTTTTTTAAGATCATCTTATATAATAACTACATCATCTTTCTTCTTCGTTCACAATTTCTCGATTGGGAAGGAATCCCCCAATACAATTAAGTATGCCTTGTCAACTTTTGATGCATAGCATATTTGCCGCTGACTTAAGATTTCACTGCTTTTCTTTTTAGATTTGCTTCCATAGTCTTTGTCCAACCAGGAACTAAAAAAAAAAAAAAAAAAAAAAAAATCATCTTAGGCTTTGAAAAATAATTTGGTTTCTAAATCTATTTTTTTTAAAATAATGTTTCAATTCTTTGAAAAGTTTTACGATAAACTTGAAATACCATGAATTTTTTTTTTTTAAGTCGTTGTCAAATGCCCCCCCCCCCCCTTTTTTACTCGCTTGTAACAAAAAATACCGCTTTTTTTCGTAAGCAGGTGGTATACAGTTACATCTGATACATTTATCCAGCAGTTGAACCGTGTATTTTTAACACAAAAATTGCCGATTGAATTCATACATTTTATTTGTAATTTTTTATGTATTTAAATTTATAAGTGAAAGTATTTTGATTTTAAATTCAACATGTGGACGTTCACATAGTCCCGCCCCCCCCCCCCCCCCAACTTTCCCTCTCCTCCAGTCGACACGCGTCCACAAAAGTCGATTTTTCTCTGACCAACCCCCCCCCCCCCCCACACCTAACCCGTGTGAATGGCATAAATAGTCATAACTACTTCTTAAACTGTTATCATGGTATATTATTGATTTAAGTTCTGCTCGATTAATCGATATATTTCAGACGTTCAGTGATGTCTTCAGTGCCTCGGCTTTATTCCATTAAAGTAAATAACAAGATGTACGTACATCTGATTGGTATGGTAATAAATGATTTCCAGTTTTGCTTTAATAGTAAAGTACGCCAAGTTATTCACAATGTAAATATTGTTTAATTAAGTAAACTTTTTCTTAACAAAAAAAAAACAGCTTATATTATAGACTGCAGCCTATTCGTATTAATACATTGGGAGACGTTAAAACATATCTTAAATTAACCAGATGTTGTGTCAATTAATCTAATTATTTTACGTCAAAGGAGACTTTAGACCCGTATGTTACTGGCACTATCTGATGCTGTATGTCAACAAAAATTAAATATTAAAATATACACCGGCTCATAATGTATTTGATTTGTATCCTGATAATGACGATACAACTTTATAAAACGAATCTTTAGCATTATAATTAAAGGTGAACAATGATGAGTGTCGAGGGTTGCTAAACTATTGTACATGCATCCCTTAATGATTGCTCAGTCATGTACACGAATCACGATCGATCATTACATTAAAGACTTTCAATCAGAACTGTGAAGCTACTGTTATTCTTTTACTATAGTAAAAACCTGTTTTAGGCCTATCTCAAATTTGTATATTTTAATATGTAAGTAAGCGATACATCTAATAGTCTGAGATGAAATAATTTTATAAGAACGTGGAGTTTGGCAATGAATTATCACCAATTTGTTAATCTATAAAAGTAAAATGTATTTCATGGGAGATAACTATTATACGAAAATTTAAAAATAAAAATCTCTTGTCAAACTAAGAGAAGATAAACAACATATAAAGGTAAACATTTTATTACAAAATGAAATACATTAAAAATAAAATTTAGGTATGTTATTTTAAAACTTAAAAAAATTAACTTATTGAATACTTAAAAATGTATGTTAATTGAAATTATAAACACATTATACTTATTTAATAATTGATTGGTACAATAAAGAAATATATCGCTCTAATGCGCGTTGTTTATTTCTGGCTCCCTATAATTACTGGCCACGGGTGGTCCTCACGCACAACTATGTCGGAAAAATACATCAAACGGCTATTCCTGCCTAAGTTTGGCTTGGCAGGACATGCGCCCAAAACTCTAGAGATTTTCATAGAAGAGGGTTTTTCTTTAGCTACCCTCACAGCTGACGAACTAAAAAGAGAGCTATGTATGTTATGTAGCCTATCACCAGCTGAATTTGAAAGTCTGTATAACTACGGGACACTGCGTAAATGGTATGTTACCATTAGATTAAAGCAATTATATGAAAAAATGCACTTAAAAGAATTTCACAGAGATTTGCCACCTAGGGTAACATCCAGATACAGAGTGCAGAGAATATCAATAACCCACGCCGATAAATCTGGGCAAAGGGGCATGCTGAAATGGCTGCCTTCCAAGACAAGCGACGACGATATAATGGCGATTCTGAAATCTATAAGCAGTCAGGACTCAACACCAATATTTAAGAGAATAGACCAATCAAATGTGGTCCAATTCACCATCTCTCCGGAAAAAGAAGATGTGGAGAGTGTCCCACACTATATTATACTTACAAATGAGGCCATCAAAGAAAGCAGAGTCCTTATAATCCTCAATGGGAGGAGGGTGCAATGTTGCCACTGCAACACAGACAGGCACCTGCCTAAAATGTGTGAGCATTTGAGGACTCGCGCTCTTGACGGCGTCCAGCTAATAGATGGACAGTACAGGGCAATTGAGCCTTGGGATGCAAATGATAAAGAAGAAGTTAGGGAGCATCTAAGTAACAATAGAAATTTCTTAAAGCATTGGGGCAGTTATGATGTTGACGGAGAAAGACAAAATGAAATGCTTAGAGAAGCAAGGCATAGAGATGTAGAAGATGCCTTTGGAGTAGATGGCCAAACTGAAGCACATCATACTACTGCAGCACCGCAGCAAGTTAACGAAAGCGTAGCCGAAACCACCATAGAGGCTGAAGCCATGGAGAAAATAGCGACCAGAAATTCCATAGTAACAGGGTCTCAAAAAGATGGGGATCAAGAAAATTTGGAGGCAGTCGACGAAACAATAAATGATATTCTTCAAGATAACACTAGTTCAGAAAACATAACGAAACCGCTAAAGGAAATTAAAAGCTCACAAAGTATATCAGCAACAAAGGTATCAGGTCAACTGTCATATAGTCAAGCAATCAGTTCAAGTAAAAATCAATTACCTACAGTAAAGCCACCCCAAAGGGTCGTGACCAGGGCCCAATGGGATAGCAAACCAGCGGCTGGAAAGTTTGGCGTTAAAAGACCACCACCATCCAGCCCTCCAGAAACAGATGTTCGAAAGAAAACCCCAAATAATTCATGCTAACTCTGGCAACATTGAACATTGGGGGGCTAGGGACAAAACACATTATATAAACAACATAATAAATAAACACAATATTGACATATTACTTTTACAGGAAACTAACATTAGAACGACAGAAGAAGCAATTAAACTAGATGCATACATCGGCATCAAAAACTCACTGCACAGTACTGGTTTCAACTGCAGAGGAACCAGTATACTTATATGCCCCAACACATAGACAAGAACAAAAACATTTCTACCACACGCTTAATGAACTTATAAATACCGAATACAAAAACAAGACGATACTTTTAGCAGGTGATTGTAATATGGTCATAGATGATACAGACCTAATAGGACAAGATGACAGGAAAACGAAAAGACTAAAACACGATAAAGAACAAATTAATACATTAAACAATATAATAAAAACGACAAGCTTAAAAGACACCTATA